CTCCATACCGATTCGCTGATTCTGGTCTCGGCTTCATTTGCATAATTTTGAAGTTATGATAAAATTATGATATCGACGGAATTGCCCGCCGAGCTATAAAGGCATAACAACCAAAGATAATATTTTATTACGCCCCGCTGTTGGATCTGGATAAAAGAAGTCTATGCTTATTGCTGTGACGTAAGCTTCCTCAGATCAAAGTTTCATTGTCATTCGTCGATCTGGCGAGACGTGATTGAGCGCAGATTAAACACGCGAACAGATTTTCTCATTTATGACTTCCCTAATATCAGAATGGGTTATGACCGACTCATATTTGCTAACTCCGTATTTGATCGAAGAATGCTGTCTCGTTAAAACGTCTTCAGTTAAATATCGGCGATTGAGGGAAGTACGTACCGAAATCAATTGAACTCAATGGTCGCCCCGAGTTTTTGCAAAGTTCAGCAGAAACGGCAAGTTCATTAGCAAAATCCGAAGATTTAATTGAAATGTCACGTAAACTCGACCGGACTGAGTTTGTATAGGTGGCTCAGTTACCTTGGGAATTCTCAAATCAGTTTTATAACTTCCCCGATTACTTCCTCACTTAGCTCGTAACCCGCGCTTAACAATAAAATATAAATTATGACGATTTTTTTATGTTTTCATATACCTACAACAGTTAGAAATCCAGTTTGTGAATGTAAGCTCTCCATAAAGTACCGAGTAGTATTGAATTCACGAGATGTTCTGTTTTATTTAACATTTTTATAGCGAGGGTGGCTTATTAACCTCAAAATATTGTAGGCTTAGGGCGAAACAATACGACCGAGTCTGGTGATACAAGTTTACAACATTTTAATTAAAATTTGGAGAATTTGAAAGGGTCGCTTAGCGTTGTGACTGGATCATTGGATACCCTGAGAGCAGCCATTTGCTGAAAATGGGGATGAGAGGAGGTCGTGGGAAGGGGACCATGTTAAATTATAATTATTATTATTGCTGTCCAGTTACATCGAGATTTAACTTACATTATATTGTTTAAGAATCAGGATTTTTGTTTTCTTAGGCCTCATCTACGTTATTAATTCGTTAGTTGACCTTCATTACTGCTGCTATTTTATGGAGCCATTATGAGGATTATTCGATTCATATTTGACTAAATAGCGGTTTTATTTCCTAAGAACGCTCACTTATTATATTAAGACATTAGCATCAATCTATCTAGAAAATATCTAGGAGAAATCAAAGTAACCTAATTAATTTCCACTCTCCGAAATATTAATATAATTTTTACTAGGGCTAAAACTCAGCGAACCTTGTCGTTGTACTTATTATAATATTAATTCTCCGAGTCTTGTTTTCACTGACCCCAATAAGCAGTCTTATTTACGCAACAATATTAAATTTTACGTCGCGTAGGTAGGTATTGAAGTAGTACTGTACTCCGTTATAATAAATAAATATCTAGTACTACTTGCAATAATAACGAAATGCAGAGGTTGAAGCAGTTAGGTATCAAGCGGTGGCAATAAAAAGCAAAGCGAAAGTAACAGCGTTTACTTGCACCAAGGAGGTAAGAATTGAGAATGAATAATTATACAGAAATACACACATATTTATATTGATTACAAAAGCTAAATAATAATAATAACGGTTCGCGCTTGACCGTTTCGTGCGAGAGGTCAACGCCCCCTCGATAGTGCAGACAATAGGTACTGCGCGGCCATCTTGTCGTCATCAGTACTCGCACAAAAGGATGCGCAGGCGCCATGTCTAAGAGGTGCGGCTAGCGGTGAGAAGTGGGCGGATCTTTGCGACCGGTTTTTGCACACGGCCCGCTCTGACGTCATATCGTATGATCCAGTGCTGCGTTGCATCGTGCGAGTGGACTTGCTTACTCGCTACACCACTCCCCCGCTGAGACCGTGACTACGGGCGATAGTAATCAGGGAATCTTACTGCTCTGCCGCTTCTTGTCATCTTAATTGGGTTGTCTGAATGTACTGGTCCTGGGGTCTGTGTTGGCTGTTGGCTTGTGTCTGGGTCATCTTTTGCCATGAACGCAGGCTTGACGCGGTCAATTGTTACCTTCTGCCTCTTTCCGTGCGCTTCGATGTCTATGGTCTTCTGGTCACGGGCCAGTACTTTGTAAGGACCTGTGTATGGAGCCTGTAAGGACCTTCGACCTGGGCCTTCACGTAGGAAGATGTGAGTTGCTGTAGCCAGGTCCTTCGGGATGTAGAAGAGACGGTTGGAACCTGTATGCCAAGCAGTTGGTTGTGGTGCCAGCTTGGACATATGGGCACGTAACCTGCTTACCAGGTCGCTCGTGTCCACGACGTCCTTCTCGGTTTCTGTGAGGAACTGCCCTGGCAGTCGTAGTGGTTCGCCGTATACGAGTTCCGCGGTCGATGCTCCGAGGTCTTCATTACATGCGCTTCTAATGCCTAGCAGCACCCAAGGAAGAGCTTCAGGCCAGCTGGAATTCGCGTGGCACATTATTGCGGCTTTCAATTGGCGATGTAATCTCTCTACGAGACCGTTAGCTGCGGGATGATAGGACGTAGTTAGGTGGTAATTAGCACCTATAAGGGCGGCTAGCTTTTTGAAGGTGTGGGATTCGAATTGCCTCCCACGGTCCGTGGTAATGTGCTCCGGGCAGCCAAAGCGGGCGATCCACCCAGTGGTGAGTGCAGTGGCACAGGTCTCTGCGGTAATGTCCCGTAGCGGGTACGCCTCAGGCCAACGTGTAGCACGGTCGACAATCGTGAGGCAGTACTTGTATTCCGAGGACAATGGTAATGGGCCAATCAGGTCAAGATGAATGTGGCGGAAACGTCCTGACGGTGTCTTAAAAGATTGTAAAGGAGCGGAGGTATGACGTGTTATTTTGCTCTTCTGACACGCTTCGCATTCTTTTGCCATCTGTCTACAGTCCTTTCTAACTCCTGGCCACACAAACCTTTCTGTAACCAACCGAACACTTGCTTTTCGTCCGGGATGGCTGAGATTATGAAGGGAAGTAAATACCTGCTTTCGAAATGATTTTGTTATAAATGGACGTGGCGTACCCGTTACGTCACAGTAAACCTCAATGTCAGACTCGGGTAGTTTCACTTTCTTCAGCTTTAGGGATGATCCGTTTTTTAGCAAGTCTTGTAGTTCGGGATCAGTTTGCTGTTCCTTGGCTAGAGAGTGGTAATCTAAGGGTAAATTGAGCTCATTAATACGCGAAAGGGTGTCCGCGACTACATTGTCCTTGCCAGCTATGTACCTGAGGTCTGTCGTGAATTGGCCTATGAAGTCCAGATACCTGAATTGTCGGGGAGTGCAGTTTGGGCGTGGAATTGTGAAAGCGTAAGTCAACGGTTTATGGTCCGTCCTTATGTGGAATATGCGCGCCTCGACCATGAAACGAAAGTATCTTATGGCTTCATATATGGCCAGTAGTTCCCGGTCGTACGGGCTGTATTTTTTTTGTGAAGGGCTGAGCTTCTTCGAAAAGAATGCCAGTGGTTGCCATTCCGTCTTGCGTCGTTGTTGTAATACGGCTCCGATTGCCGTATCGGAAGCATCAGTCAGGATACTCAACTCCGCATCTGGATCAGGATGCACCAGTAAGGTAGCCTCTGACAGACTCTGTTTGCAGCTATTGAAAGCTTCTATCAGCTCTGGAGTCATAGTGACTGGATGCGATCCCTTAACCTTAGGACCTGCAAGCAAGGTATTAAGTGGTCCTTGTTTGGCAGCTGCATCCGGGATAAAACGGCGGTAAAAATTGAGCATTCCGAGGAATCGCCTCAACTCCTTGACCGTCTGAGGCACAGGAAAGTCTTGAATGGCTTGTACTTTGCTGTCAAGAGGCTGGATACCCGACTTTGAGACTTTGTATCCCAAGAACTTCACCTCGGTTTGGCCAAAAATACATTTGCTAGTATTTATCAGGACGCCATATTTGACCAGCTTTTCGAACAATTGCCTGAGGTGTTGTTTGTGTTCGAGTGCATCTTTACTGAAGACCAAAATGTCATCGAGGTACCCATAACAGAATGATAGGTCTCGCAGAATTTCATCCATGAACCTTTGGAAGGTTTGTGCAGCATTTCTGAGTCCAAAAGTCATGAATGGGAACTCGAATAGTCCGAATGGTGTAGTTATTGCCGTCTTGGGTATATCTTCTCCGAAAACCGGGATCTGGTTATAAGCCTTCACTAAATCTATGGTTGAGAAGATAGTACTGCCCGCTAGTTCGTGCGTGAAGTCCTGCAGATGCCTGATAGGATAGACGTCCGGGATGGTTCGTGCGTTCAGAGATCGATAATCCCCGCACGGCCGCCACCCATCGTTTTTCTTGGGCGTCAAGTGTAGTGGTGAGGACCAGGCGCTCTCGGATGGGCGTGCTGTACCGTTTTGCAACATCCCTTCAAACTCTTGCTTTGCTATCTTAAGACGTTGCGGATCCAGGCGTCGAGGACGGCTAGAAACTGGCGGGCCTGGCGTAGTCCGTATATGGTGCACGGTGTTGTGCTTGGGCGTGCTTGGTTTACCGGCGGGTCGCGTAAGGTCAGGATACCCTTTCAAAATGCGGTGGTAATTGCTATCTTCGGTTATAGTGCGTACGGATGAAATGCTTTCGGCTTGTTTGGACTGTGGTACTTGTACAGTTAGTGATGTCAAGTTATCTATGAGGCGCTGGTTTCGGCAGTCGACAATTAGGTTGTAGTAAACTAAAAAGTCGACTCCTATAATGGGTTTAGTGACATCCGCGACTATAAATCTCCAAGAGAATGCGCGTCGAAGTCCAAAGTCTAGCGTAAGTGGGATAAATCCGTACGTGTTAATTACTGATCCATTTGCTGCGAACAACTCGTATTTTGTCCTTATGCGTGGCTCCCGAACAGCGGATCGTGGAAAGACACACAGGTCTGAACCCGTATCTATAAGATATTGTATCTTCGTTTGACGGTCCGTAATGAACAGGCGGCTGGAAATTGCGTGGCAGTCGTAAACCGCCCTTACTGGCTGCCTTGGTAGTTTAACGGCTTCTTTTGGTAGGCGCACGGGTGTGTGCATCTGCGGGCCTTGTCTCCGAATCGGTTATGGTAGAAGCAGTATTGGTTGTTTTGCGAACGAGAACGTGATCGCTGGCGAAATTGATTGAACGAGTATCTGCTTCTTGACCGTGATCGTGATGACTTCTGGTTCAGCTGCATACTCATAGTCTCCACCTTCCGTGTCAGCTCAGACACCGTCTGGGTTAATGCTTCGATAGCGCTGCCCTGTTCCGTCTTAGGCTGTGAGCCCGCTACTTGCCCGGTTACTGGCATGCCAGTAGCGGCTACTTGCGTGGTTACTGGAACGATGTCATTAATGCGGTCTACCAGTTCTGCTACCTCTTCAAGGCTGGAATTTGCTTGCATTGCCACTATTGTTTGGAGGTTTGCCGGCAGCCTACTCGACCAGATTGACCGGATGAAATCGCCAGGAACGGTGGGACCGGCTAGCTGATGTAAGTGGCGGAGGAATTGAGTCGGTTTCCTGTCTCCCAACTCCTCATGCATAAGCAGTTGTTTGATCTTGCGCTCCTGCGAGGCGGACAACCTCTTAATTAATTCATTTTTCAGCTTTTCGTATTTGCCGGTAGTGGGGGGGTTTACTATGAGGTCGCGTACTTCCGCTGAATGTTGCGATTCTAGTTGAGCCAGCACGTAATAAAATTTCGTGTTGTCAGTCGTGATGTTGGATAGTACGAACTGACCCTCCAGTTGAGCGAACCATAATTGTGGGTCATCAGCGTTGAAAGCTGGAGTCTTTACCCCCACTCGGTATGCCATGAAGAAATTTTTGTTCTCTTCGGTATGTGCAGTTTCTTCCATATTGTAAATTTGGCTGGACTAGAACGAACGTCGGGGTCACCAGTGAAGTAGTACTGTACTCCGTTATAATAAATAAATATCTAGTACTACTTGCAATAATAACG